ATGGAATTTAGGTCTCTGATGGACATGGCACTTTGAGCCTTTGAATTGTGTGAAAAATAGCCCGGTGTGGGTTACTCACTGCATCTGACTTCACGGCCAGTAGTTTTTAGCAACTGACGACTGGCTTTGGGAAGGTTGTCAGCCACTGGAGAACAAATCACTGCAATGCAGCCTATTTTGAGGATGCTTTTCTACTTTTATATGTTTTTACAGGTTGATTTTCCAATAGATATTTATTATGAAGTTCCATGTCCAGATGAAGGTTGACTTTTGCAGATAGTTCCTATTCTTAGCCCATGCATAGAAGCTGCTTTTCTTTATTAAGCCCAGTGCCATTGATTTCACTCTTAAATGCCATTTGATGGTTTCCATTCATGCTTTTTCAAGTGTTTCATTACTGGCCAACTCAGGGGCCAAATAAGTAAGCAATGGGCTTGAACATATGGGAAAAAGTGACCCTTGCTGCCAAGGAGTTAAAGTATTAAAGTGCATAAGCCATTTCCTGTAACAGTTGTCAAGCTAATTTTGAGTAAATTACTTAGTCCGTGTGTTTACTGTTCATATAAACCCACTGACTCCGCATGAAAATTACATTACACTGCTGTAATCACAGACTAGTCTTTTGCAACTATAGGCACTACACCCCAAAACTGCATCCCTCTAACAAGACTTCTCTGAGTTCGGAAACAGTAGCTTCTGAACAAGTTAATTCATGTTGCATTGCACCATCCAGTGATGAGAGTAACTGTTGCTCCATGCTTACATGTAGCTCCACAAAACCCAGAATATTCTTTAGTAAATAATGACGTAATGGAAAAGAATGCACTTAACACAGAATGAAATTCAATACAAGAGAAAACCATTATCATCACCATTGCAAACGTTTTCCACACCAAAAGATAATACACTTCTGGAGCTCTTGGTAACAAACTTCCCTTCTCTCCACTCAGTGCATGACAGCCAGTCTACTACCTAAAGTATTTGACATAAAGGACAAAGCAGTGCCTGTAGATAAGCATTTTCCTTTAGCTCATCATTTCTAGCTTATGTTTAGATTTTAAGTGGGTATAGAACAGAAAGGTGTTAAAAAGTGCAAATAATTTAGTAACCTGTAAATGTCAACACTTGCTAGGAAATTTTAAAATCAGGCTGACTTTCCATTAGTGCCATGTTACATATTGTGATTAAGTTGTAGATTGATCCTTGGTATCATGGTACAGTGCACAGTGCTCTTGGAAGAGCCTGAGCCAAATATTCGTTAACCTAAGATACCACTTCACTATCCCTGATTTCTGCCAGTAAGAAAGTAAATTCTTGTCTAGTGTTACGAGACGTGCCCTACACTGCTATTTCCGGTTTTGTTGAGGAAAGCAAAGTGAGCAGTGAAGAAAGTAAAAGGCATCACTCCTATTTGTTGATGTTGCTTTTTACCATTAAAAATGTATAATATTAATATCAATTAGGTAGAAAGTACATTGTGCAGGTACCACTTTTTGTTATTTTACAGAAACCATGCTCAACTGATGTTATAATGGAAGAAGAAACAAGTTAACTCATAGGACCATGAGCATATGTCTGCTGTCAACAGAAAGACTCTCAGGGATTTCAATTAGTATTAGATTGCAGTCTTCATGTTTACATTTAAAAGTATTCCCCTCTGTGTCCTTACACAAATTATTAGCTTATTCAAATTCAAAAGATAAGTGTAAGATTAAAAAGTATGCATTAAATAGCGGACAGACAGTGACTAAAGTAAGGCAATTTTGAGATCTGTCACTCTGGCACTTCTCTCTGGCTGTTTACTGGGGGGGACAATCCATCTTAGTGCCTGGTCATTTTGTATCCAATCACTTCATGTGTCAAAGAGAACCAGAAATCTGCTCCTCCATTTTCAAATGATTGTATAAGACAGAAAGATAAGGGGGAAAAAAAAAAAAAGGGTCTTTCAGTATAAAGTACTTCTGTAAAAAAACAACCAAACAACCAAACAAAACAAAAATCCTCTGTTGTCGATATCTAGATATTTATATATTCACCTGTTGCTCTCCCTCTATCTTCCTCAATTTTCTAATTCACCACAGCAAGTTAGGGAAAAGTAATAACTAATGATGAAATGCTTTATCTGGATAGTACATGTTCCAGTAAGTAGCATTTTTCTCTCTCTTTACAACACATAGTCTTTATTCCACAAATTAATCAAACAGCTTCTGTTTTCCAGTAATTCAGACTAGTCATAAAGGTATCTTTAATTATGGCATAATCAGTGGTATAAGATAAATGGGTTCTACTTGGTTGCCTTTCCAGGAAATCAGACTTTTCTGGCACTTTAAAATGCCTACAATGGACTCAGAGTAAGCTATGTAACTGGCCTAAAGCATAAAATGTATTTGATGAAACGTAGGAAACAAGTATTAACCCCAGACTACATGCAAAGCCAGATAGCAGATCCCTAGTTTAAACCATTGTTCCTGCAGACCTCTTTTATGCTTAAAAGTTCTTGCCTTAAAATACAAAATATATTATAAATTAGGTAATCATTCAATATTTCATACACATAGCCAGTTATATGATTTAGAATATGAGTATTGTACAATTGCCCATCTTCCCCAAAAGATCTCATACAGACCAACCAACTATAGGAACTGAAACAAATTGTATTATAGTCACAATAAAGACTCAGTACAAAAAAATCTTTATAATATGTAAATCCATGTAAGATAAATCTATTTTGACCTCTTTGCAGCTGTACTTCTTATTCTTTAAAAGGAAAAAATATGCACAATAAGTAACAATAAGCATTTTGAATTTTTTGTAAAAATTAACATGATTTGGACAAGTAGAACATGAGTATGCTAATAAAAACGGTTATCAGCTGACAAGGTTTTGAATAGTGACATGCAGTTCAAAACTGCATGGCAACTCTCTAGTTATGAACCCTGAGATACAAAATGCCCTTTAAAGAAACAGCAAAGAACAAGAAAACTTTCCAGACCCTTCACCAGAAGACTAAGATCTACAGGAGAGCTCAGAGACATAAAGCTATGAAAAAATGCTAAAGATCTGTTTACCAGTTCAAACTGCTACCAAGTACCATCCTGCTCTGGGAAATGACTTAATAAAAACCCAAAAAAATCAAAAATTAGAAATGGCAGTTTCTTCGCCATTAAGGGTTGGTAGATGTCATCATGCCGCAGCTTCACTTTGGGAACACAAAAAAATCATGGGACCTAGAGGATCAAACAGCTCAGCATGGTCTGTATTGTGTCCACAGTGCCTGCTTCACTTGCTTCAGCATGAGGGAAGCAAAGGTGTTAATCTCTCTCCTCTTGTGTTTTTCATGAAATGGTTTTAGACATGTACTGGGGAGAAATAAAGAGCTGTCTTTAAGTTGTCCTATGTACAGGGACTGCTAGTATTCATAATTTTATCTGAGCTACAAGTAGAAGCTTTCTTTTTAGTGTCCTTCCCATATAACAGGCAGGAATAACTTCTTAACAATTGCTACCTTACTCAGTTCAGGCAATTTCTACTCGTATTTGCATTCTTTAAAACTTCACTGATACTCATCAAATGCAAAAACAAATGTGAGAGTTTAATGAAATATTCCCGTTCGGTCCCCGTGTGTTGCCTGCTCTAGTCGACAGGTGGTGTCCCTGGCGGCACGGAGGCTGGATTAAAATGATCTCTAAGGTCCCTTCCAGCTTAGGCTATTCTATGATTCTATGATTCTATGATTCTATGATTCTATGATTACTTGCTACAAGGTAATGTGGACTCAAGTTTGGGAACTCAATAAATACTTAAAAAATTATTCTGAAATTAAAACTTGATTTCCCCTACCAGATTTTTTTTAACTTGTCAGATTTCAAAACTTTGGATCTGAAAACAATACTAGGTTCCTCCTCACTCAGGCAGAGGAAGCAGTCAAAAAAGGCACTTTGTTCCAAATCTTGTAATTTGCACACGTGGAACAGAGAGACGAAACTGATCTTTGATCTAAATTTAATTAAACACTTTTCTCATTGACATGTGAGCTTCTTCTTTCCTAACAGCCAATAGATATGAATGCAAATATACATTGGCATCAGATTTGTTAAGGAAGGAAGCATTTTATCAGTTTTCAGAGTAAAGTCACATTCTAAACTCTAAATTGGCACCGAAGAACCAGTTTTGGTGGAATTATAGGGCTCTCCGTAAACGCTAAATATTTGCAGTGAAAACTTAATCTCCCAACTCCATTCATTCAAAGCTACGAGACATCTGTGCTCACTTCCATAGGGATTTACACATCTACAACAAGAAAAACTTGCTGTGAATAGCAGCAGTTGCAAAAGAAGTCTTCAGTCCACAGTCCTCTTTGTGCAGGAATGACGGTGGTGACTCCACAACTAAGAACAAATCTTGGAAGAAAAGGTAGGGAGGGAAGTAATGAAATTGATAAAGACAACACTGTTTTTCAATTTTGTAGGGATCCTGAGAAATTGCTTCTTATCATCCAGTCAACATTCACAGGCTAAAATCTTCTGTGTGCGTACCCTGAGTCCTATCTCCCTACTTTGGGGATGAAGGTTTTACTTTCTTCAAGTTGAATGAAAGCAAAGACCTTTTCTTCAGACATTGTTATGGAGAAGACAACAGCTCAGCACAGAAATTTTAAAGATATTGTCTTCATGTCTTAAAAAAATCAGGAACAAGTCATCTCAACCGGTTTTAATGTGTAACCTGGAATCCCATTTGTTACATGGAATTAGTAAGGTCTTCAGAAGCATCATCCGACAGCTAAACATTGCTGTCATGTGAAAAGAATGTTTTCAAGCTCTGGACCATTATTACCTACACTGCTATCCTAGTGTTCCCCATAGACATACTGAACTCCATGACATTATCACACTGGAAAATTGAAGCTATTAAGAGTATTGGAACCCAGAAGCAAAAGCCTTGAACCTATAATTTGTCCAAAATATATTTGATTAATTAATCAGAAGACTTAAAAAACTTACCTTTAAAATTTGGTCTGATTCTAGCATCATACCCCGATGTCCTTCCCATCAATTTGTCCAAAAAATCTGAAGGAGACAGGGTCTGTGAGGGGGATTTTCCAGATCTTGAATCATGTTCTTTACAGAAAGTCGTCCTAAATAAATTATTAGCCACCATTAGCTACTATTTAGCTTGTATTGTATTCAAGTCAAGGAGAAATTGTATCACTAAATAAAATTGTCTCTATTAATTGAGTGTAGTATTTAATATTTTTAGAGGACAATATAGTCTATTTTTCATCTGACAACTTTATTCTAGAAATAAAAGTGAGCTTAAGGTAGTATGCATGGACACAATTTGCTATTCAGGAAAACCCCTTACCTTTAAAAATAAATTCATTACAGCTTAAAGACTTCAGAATATTCAATTTACTCTTCAACTTAATGTGTAGAATAATCTGACAGAGACTTTGGTATCCTATTTTTTATCATTGATTTAATTACATGTATGCTGTTAAAACTATATAGAGCTGGTAACACTCACCAAGCAACACTGAAAAATATTGACTCAGTTACTGTCGGGAAGGATACAGATGCAAAAAAACACGTTTTTTACACATGCTACCCAACAAAGATTTAAATCATGCTAGCAAATATCTGGATTCTTCCCCAACACAGCAAAATTAGTTTCAGAATCAGTCATATCTAAGGGGCTTTTTACCAATGAACATTGAGTAATAAAATTTATCAGCTTTATCACCAGCTGGTATTTGTATGCAAGCTCTTGGAACACATTTCTGTTTTCAAGATTTAAGAGCAAACTTCTAGTACCTTATCATGCATACTAAATACTGTGTACAGAGCATATTGCATATTGCAAGCACATTATATATTGCAGAGAAAAAGACTTTACGAGTTTCCCATAGTTTTTCCCTAGGTGAAAAGAAACTAGAATGAAATGGTCATATTTGGTGTGTAGGGACATAGATTTCATCATAAAACATTATCTTTGCTCTTAAATAATGAATTTCATTGTATCTATGTTTCAACATAATATTTGAGCCATATTAAAAGTAATCCTGTGACTGTGTCTTTTTAACCACTCTCTGTTTATATATTTGCCCAGAGGGAATCACTCAATTTCAGGAGTGTTTTGGGGTTTTTTTTGGTGCATCTATACACAATTATAAACAAATTAGGTATATGTATGAGCACTTGAAATGAGAAAAAAAATATCAAATCATTTAGCCCTTTGCAAGAGCACAGAATTCTTAAAAGGCACAGTGATAGTAAATTCTCGTGGTGTGATTCCCCACATTTTTTCAGGTTCCATGTACAGGGCGGTTGCTTCTTTTTGCTTTTGTCAATGACATGGTAACATTACAAAATACCTTTAAATTTTAATACGTAATAGGTGATATGTAAACACTGAAAACATTCCACTGAGATAATAAAAACTGGAAAATTAATCCAGTGCACCTATTTGGGATATCCCTACCTAAATTACTTCTGTTTTTCATTCAGAGCTCACTAGTTATGAGTTGCGTACTGATCCCAGACTCATGAATAGAAACACAATTTCACTCCATCAGTGTCTATATACCTCATTACTCATATAAAAAGACTTTATATGTGTACATGCAGATATACGATAGCGTAGAGTATAATGGTGAATCTCAGCTAAAATGGTGTTTTGGTTAATAAGACTGACCTGTTTGCTTTGTACTGCAAAAAGTCAATAGCTGAAGCAAAAGCTCATGAAATGTTAAAAAATAAAATCACAAAAAACAGTCATATGTGCTGATACTTTAAATGAACACAATACTTGTCTGATTCAGGGTTTTCCCAAAATCAGAGGACTGGTTCTCTGATTGCAAATAACTACATCTCTGGGAAAACTGATTCAATCATTTCCAAAGCTTGAAGAGGAGGGAACCAAAGCAACTTCCTAAACAACCTCTGGTGGGAGCAAAGAATTTGTATTTTGGAAGAAAAACTGAAAAAAAAATGTTTTTAGCTATATTGATACTCATTCAAAAAGCATATCTCTGAATCTGAGAAAAGGAAAACAGATTACCCAAACTTGAGAATATATTTTGTGTGTTTGTTACCAAGCAACGAGTCTCCGAGTGTAAAAGGGATAGCCTATACAGAATGAACATGAAATATTCTCAAACACAGCAAACAAACTAGGATTATGTGACATAGTATCTTTATAGTTATGATTTCCACAACCTTTTGACAAAAATCACCACATAGAGTTGTATCACCTACCTGAAGTGGCTTGTCTCTAAGAAAAATGCAAACAAGGTTGTCAAAATTTTCACTAGCTGCCGGTTCATTCCTCCTGCTTTCTGTGATGATTTGGAAAATATCCCAGAAATGATTCCAGAGGGATGCAGGGAAAAAGTAAGCTGATGCTGCCTAGATTCCCAAATTCAGCAATAATTTGATTTTCTTGACAAGCAGGAAGAGAAGGTCTGGATCTCTACAAAGTAGGAGTAAAAAAGAAGTGCCAGTCCTTGGAATCATGGTCAGGTCAAGCCTAGGCTCATTTCCAGCAGCCAGCATGAAAGAGACAAAGCATCAGATCTGGTCTTGCTTTTGGTGATAGAGTGAAAAGAAAAAAAAAAAAAAAAAAGAAAGAAAGAAAGAAAAGAATAAAGAAGAAAGAAAAACGAGAAAGAAGAGGAAACCCAACTATGCGAGGAGCATCACACAAAAGGG